CTTTCTGAGATGGCAAAGTTCAAACTTGAAGCACTAAAAGAAGAGAAAAATCCTTAAATGTGAGTAAAACATAGACAGTGCACAAATAGGATCACCATTATTTTCTTCTTAAAATAGTACTTATTCACTTTTAATTGAGGAAGTTTTATACTTTAGTTAAAACAAAATAAGTACTATTTTCAGAATAAAACAAAGTTACCCCTATTGTGTAGTATGTCTGTGTTACTCCTATTTTGGAGCAATCTCTATAAAAGGTACCATTATATATCATTGGAAAGAAAGAAGTAAAAAAGAAGAAGTAAAGGTAGACCCACAACAGTGACAACACAGTCTTTAGCGAGCCTAACTTCCACACCCAGCATTTTGCTTACCTAACTAAATAACCCTCTCAGAAATAATGTAGACCTTTTTATTCCTTACTTCAATTGTTTGTTTTTCTGTAAAATGTATCTAAATCAATTGATGATCAAGATAACTGTGTTGAGAATTGTTCTTGAGAAAAACAAATACATACTCCATTTATTTCACATTATATTATGTGGTGCTTATTATTATGCGGTAAATCTAAGCTAGGTACTATACCCTCAATGTATATCCCTCTTGAAAAAAAATGGAAATATATTTTCTGAGACTTATTATGAAGAGAAATAATTCCAAATATATAATTAAACTAAAAGTAATGAACAAAAATATGAGCCTAGTAATTTAACTTTAGTGACTATAATTGTATTCAAATCATAGTGACTATAAACTTTCATAGTAACTTATTAAGAAGGTCATAAAGTGGAGTATTAGTATTAAATTATCACTTGGTTTCTAACGTACACAACTATTGATGTGAACAAAAATTTAGCCATCAATTATCGTGAAACAAAAGAAGTAAATCAAGAACCATAAAGGCGTGCTTCAATTCAAGCAAATTCTTTAAAACGAAACCTTATAAAATTATTACAATATAATTTAAATAAGCTCTAAGAGAGCACACTTTATAAGGATATGATGAAGATAATTTTGTGTATGTGCACGTGTGTTAATAATATTTGTTTAGTGAAAGTATTTAACACAAACTTCCTCCTTCCATTCCAAAACTTCCTAAGTTTGAATAAGTCCGCACTTTAACATCCTGAAATGCATTTTTAATGAGGGTAAATATTATTTTAGTACACTACATTTCACTATTTAACATTGTACATTCTTATTACTCAAGGGTAATATACTAATATCATAAATCGATGGGAATTTGTTTATCAAATAAGAAAAGAGAATTATTTAGGAACATCTTAAAAAGAAAAGTATGAAGTTCTCTTAGGGAAGGAGTACATTTGGTGGAGAGAAATTGCTGAACAACTTAATTATCTAAAACGTTCATGAGGTGAAAGCGGCATTTTCATGGCCCTCCCAAGTCCCAAAAAGACCATAATGGGATATGGGAATTGTGTGAAAGGTAATAGAACATGGTTATTAGATAAGAGTGTACAATGTTAGATGAAAGCAGTGAAGTTTAATGCATTTGGAGACTCCGATTTCAATTGCAAAATTGAGGCCCCATATATGAATAAAAATAAAATCACATACGTATAATAACAACTTACATAGTTCAACAAAGTTAATTATGCTCAAGTGTTCATATAGGAAAAACATGATTTAAAATAACTACATATTAATACTATATAATGTAATACTACTATTAAAAATTGGGGCCCTCAATTTTGATGGACCCTATTCCAGATGACCTATTTGACTTGCTACAAAACAGCGATGAAAAACTTGCATGTTTGCCCTTGATGTAAAGTCTATTATCGGATAGTACTTCTAGATAGGAGTACCAACACATACAGATGAATGAGGGTTAGTTCATGAGTCCTGAAATCAGGATTTCATATGAAATAATTATTTAGTCATACCTATTAATTAGGGAGGAAGGGTTATAGGGGGCAACCATATTTTTTAATTGGGGGCAAATACTTAATCTTTTAATACTTTAGAATAAATTTCATTTTTGGTCCTACGAATTTGATGTAAATTTCACATTTAGTTCACGTCTTTCACTTTGTCCACTTTTGATACTAGACTAATGTTTTTTGTCAATTTGTAATCCTTTTCCGGTGATTTTAATCTCCGGAAACATTGCGGGAAGGACCATATATGGACGAAAATACAATACTCAGCTATCAAAAGTAGACAAAGTAAAAGACGTAGACTAAATGTAAAATTGACATCAAACTCGTAGGACCAAAAGTGGAATTTCTAATATGATAGTTGTGTGTCACGAAAAGCTAAAATGAATCTCTTATGTGCTTGGTTGTGTACATGGATGATATAAGTTGATAGATGAGAAAAAAACCTTAAATATTTAAGAGTTGAACCCTTGAATAGGGGTGGACCGGTTCCGGTTCGGGCCCGGCCGGGCCTCGGTTCATGAAAGGGGAGGCCCGGATCGGAATCGGCCCGGGTAACCCCGGGTCCGGGCCGGGCCTCGATTCTTATATTTTTTTTTGGGCTTTTCCTAATTAACCTCCAACCCTTCCCCCTCACCCCCAAACCACCCCAAACCACCTTAAATGGCCCATCATACCCAGCCCAATCCAAAAACTTCAAAAAAATTCAAAAAAAAAAAGAAAAAAAAATAATTTGGCCCGGACCGGGCCCGAACCGGCCGGGCCAGTTCACGATTTAGGAGGCCCGGACCCGGCCCGCCTACCTCACCGGGCCGGGTGGCCCGAACCGGGTACCAACCGGTTCACCGGGCCGGTCCGGGCCCGCACAGTAGCGGGCCGGTCCGGTTCCGGGCCAGTTGGCCCGGCCCGAGTCCACTCCTACCCTTGAAGGGTACGTCTTCTTAGTGGTGAGTTTGAAGTGAAAAATTTGTGTGCTTATATCTTTATAAGTCTATAAGATATAACGAATATTGTAGATCTATAGGAAAGAAGTAAGATTTTTTTCCTTTTGCAAAAGGTTTATATTCAAGATACTATCAAGGTTTGATATGTCTAAAGCGAAATCTATAAGATACAAAACCTGTATAAGATACATTGTTAGGGAATTAGTGTTATGTAGATCTTGAATAGATATATTCAAAATAAAAAACTCATTAACAAACAATAACTTGATACACTGTATAATATGTTACACTACTTTTATAGTCTAGTAACGATCAAATTCAAAACAAAATAGTACTCCGTAAAACTCTCTATTTTTACATAAAGTATTCAAAAAATCTTTATTTTTGCATTAAGTAACAAATATGGGCATTATTTTCTTCGAGTTGAAAATTGAAATATAAAATGACTATTTTTGTTAGCCCATATGGTGATGCTGAAATTGGCTAAAGAAGGTGAATCAACTAAAAGTGCTTAAATTATGACTTAAAAGGTTGAATTGGCAGAATAATGAGAAAATTACATTAAAACGATTTATTATTTAAAATAAATAAAAAGTTATATGAAGAAATCTAAATTTTCCTCTTCATCAAATCAAACTCAGTTGAGGAAAGTAACTACATTCTTATTTATTTTGAATATTACACAATTCAACGCATGAAATAAAAAAATTACTCATCATTTTCAATTACCCCTGTACCGCAAAGGCTCCCACCTACGGTGAGGTAAGAGGGGTCGGATGTACGCAATCTTACCCATGTACTAAAACACAAAGAGAGTGTTTATCAAATGAGCCCCAAATTTGCATATTTTTTTTATTGATCTAATTTTCAATGTACCGAAAAAGTGAGAAAATATTTATGACACTATCATGCTCAATTTTCTGGAAAACTGGAAAATATCTCTTTTAGTAAACAGGCTCTTTTATTTTTAGAGTTAAAGTAGATGAAAGAAGCTAAACTCGATAACCATGACTAGAAACATTAATGTCGTTTGTGTAACTAAAAGATACTTGTATATGCAAGTGTACATCAATATAGTCAGGGACGGATCCAGGATTTCGAGTCAAAGGGGCGAAAATTTTCGTTAGTGTAGGAGATAAAAAATTCATTAGTGTAGCGGGGTGAATTTTTTTTCTAGTGTAGCGGGGCGAATTTTTTTAAGGCTCTGCGGCTATTTTTATTCAAAAAAATTTCATTAATACATACGTGACGACATTTAAATCTATATATTACATTCTAAGTTTAGACAATGACAAAATAACTTTAGATTTATAATTGGAGTGTTCTAGAAAAAAGTATTGATACATTAAAGCATAGGAAATGACAAATCAATGGAAAATAATACAAAAATAAAAAAGGATATATAACATTTTATTTAAATATAAAGAGTTTATAAGGTTCACATTCACGAGTACTTTTAAAATAATTTCAACATTGTTTAACTACATGAGTCTTATAGAAATAAAGAATTGATTTTTGAATTACAATTTTTGTCTATCATTGAGGGTGTTCATAAGTCACAAGCAGTTCTTTTAATATTACAATAGTATGTATGATATTATTATTTTTAGAATAATATTATATTGATAATTCATATATATAGTGCATATTATATTTGTATTAATGCTAAAATAATTAAAGTTTATTATCTATGCAATAAAGTCTTTTTATAATGTAAGAAGTAAATGAATAGTGTAATTCAATGTCAATAAACATTTATAATTTGGATTACTTCACATGATCTAAAAACTTTGTAGGTAGAGTGTCTGATATTTAATATCGTTTGATATATATTTTTCAAAATTGTTTACTAGTTATCGAATAAAGATAATTAAACATTACAAAACTAAGAATTTTTATATAATAAGTATCCTAAATCTCAAATAATGAGTTCTTCTATTGTTTATTTAAGTTATGTAAATTATTTTAGATGTTCCTTTTTTAAATCTCCGATTAAGTATTACATTATGTAAGACTATATATCAATTTTAAAAACTAAAAAATAAGGGGGGCAATGTTCAACAAAAAAATTAAGGGGGGCGAATCTAATTAAAGTATCAAAATTTTACAAAAACATTACATATATAGTAGAAAATTTTGAAAGTCCAAGGGGGGCGGTCGCACCCCCACGCCCCCCCTTAAATCCATCCCTGAATATAGTCATTCAACTCACACCGGAAACCCCGTTATGATCACTGTCTTAATTACTTTTTCGATTGAATATTTGTCATTATTTCACATATATTATAAGGATGTTTAGTCATTACTCATAAATAATTTGAAAAATCATTATCTCAGAGTTTTGAGCAACCCATATATGTTTGGAGACTTATCAACTCTGCTGATATGAAACATTTAATCACATGGAACGCCTTGGTTCTGTGACACTTCTGTCAGCTCTATAGCAGCCTATGTAAGCAGTCCGACTTTTTTAAAAGTTCGAAGCAGACCTGTATTCACTTCACAATCTCTGCCAAGGTTACCACAGCAAATAATAGGAACAGAGTGCCACCAATGTACGCAATGACCTGAAATTAAACAAGATTTGGTTAAAAAATTAAACCATCTATGTATTTTTCAATACCTTTTATGTTTTTGCTTTTTATAATATTTTTGCATTATGTTTCAATTTCTGAAAAAAAAAAATCTAAACATGTTTTCTGGTTTCAGAAACTGATAATTCCGTATTCTAACATGCATTTTATGGGTGTTGTAATTGGTTCTATACAATTCTGTTGACTAAAATGAGTCACAAATACTACTTGCACATATTTTAAGTCTGAAAACTCACATCAGAAACTAAAAGCAAGGATACACTCAGTTAAAGGGATGGTGGTAATTGAACTTGAGCACTCTACGCACTACCCCGTAGAAGGACCACATTGAGCAATCCATAGTATTAATGGGAAATTGGGAACTAATAAAGTTGGTAAACACTAAATAGTAGCAACAATAGTAAAGTAAATGGTGCAAACTTTCCTTGTTCTCCACAACAACAACATCCTATACTTAGTCCCAAAAGATTTTCCTTGTTCTCTCCAAACAGGAATAAACGAATAATTACCTATTTGGATTTGTTTCTCTAATCATAGTTACACCTATACAAAGCTAGAAACAGCCCCAAGAGTAAAGCCAAAAAAGTTTTATCAAGGAAGGAACAAAGGCCCCATAAATTGCATTGTAGGTTCTGATTTTCTCCATCTTCCTTAGTTACTGTTTGGCCTTTTTTCTACTTGTTGGTCATGTTATTTATCACTTTTAGGTTTTACAAGGCCACTTTAAGTCTCCCTAGATGTTGTGATGGCACATAAACGCATGAAAAGCATGAAACGCTCTACTCCTCTAAACATTGTTGGCATGGTGCATGGCGATCGCCATGGCTCAAATGCATTTTTCATGGCGCATGGCGATGGTGCATATGGCGCTATGGCGACGACCACTTTTTCATGGTGATGGCGCAAATGGCGTGCGCCATATCTAGCCATTGACTACTATGCCTCTAAATGCTTTTTTTCAATGGTGTATCTTACATATGTAAGAGCAAGGGTGAAGGGTCTTCATAGCCAATTGTTATACGGGTAGTATTTTGAAGTTATCTGTCTTCTCATCAATGTATATATTATTAATAAATGGATTGATTAAAATATATTAAAATAAAAATGAAGTTCAAATATATTTACACAGTATTATTATATAATTTTCTTTATATCAGACTTTATAATTACCTAAAAAATCACTCCCTCTGCCAAATTTACATGTTCTAATTGAAATCACTAATAATTTTTGTAGAACTTTTACTGTTTTTTCAGATCTATAAGTTTTATTTCCGTATAATGAAACCTATCCTAACAAAATTTGGATGTTATACTTATTGGCGTGCGGGAGGTATAAGAATCTAACCTTCTCAGATAAGAATGTCCCCAGTAAGGAACCGCCAAGAACAGCAAGCTGCATAATTTATTGTCTTAGTAGACATAATAATGTACCCATAAATATAAAGATTTCAAAAAATCCAAACACCAACAATAAATTTGAAAAATATACAATATGACCTACAAAGTTAAGCTTAAAGATGGTGGACTCTATACTCATTATTTTATATTATTATATTTCCACATTGCCGCAACTACTTTTACAAGTTTATCCGCAAAATTACAATAGACAACACTTGATTAACTTACCAGCGTTGCCACTCCATGGCCAGCAAGGGAACCGGCAATTACTCCAAGAGGTGAAGAGGCTGCAGCTAGAGCTGAAATATTGCAATTGTATTAGAAGGAAACAAAATATAGAAACCTACAATAAATTTATAATTAAACAATTCTACTATGTTGAGTAACCCTTTATGATATTGATTACTTGATTTATGCAACTTTTATACTGATATACTGGACGTCTGGACCTACCTAAAAAAAATTATGCTGCTTAAGTAGATATCATTTCCTAACATATTGTTCAAAGAATGCGATTAATCCGTGCATACATTGTGTATGACAGTTCTTTGAATTCATAATATATGATTATACACAGTTGATTCAGTTCTGAAAGAACATCAACACCGGCTTCAGGATAAATGAACTAATATGGCTGAACAGAGTCAACAGACACACTACACTGCACATAGAAAACATCTTTCCATAGACAGTTTTTTGAATTTTGACAGTGATAAGTTGTTGTTTCTAATATACGGAGTAGTTCTTAACGCACCTATTGTAGAGAAAAATGATTTGTCCCCCCATTCAGCAACAAAAACTAAAACAAACGTGCTAATAACAGCGCTAGTAGCAGCAGCCGATATTTCCGCACCATTTCCCGACAGCTCAGAAACTGCCAGCTCTGCCTGTAGTAATGAAGGAACTGTATTAGCAGTTACTACCTTTATCCCAAAATAGATTTCATTCTTTCCTTTTTCATCCGTCCCAATAGAAACTCCTTTTTCCTTTTATGTCAAAGAATATGTGGTTCATATTATTTCGCTCTCCTCTATACAACTTTTGGACACTATTTCAACTTTCATAATCCCCATGCCCAGTCAAAAGAGGAGATAAATATGGGACGGGGCGATTATATTTTGTTACCTTTCAAGTCCTCTGACTATTTCCGGAATGACATTTTGGCAGTTGTTTAATCGTTTTCTAATTTTGTCACTTTAGAAACTTTTTGTGAACTTTTTTTTATATTCCAACTTATGGTCCTATGGAAGTTTTTTTAGGAATCAGATGGAAAATAGTGAGAGCGTCCCATTGTCGTAACAGGCGAGGCGGGCACTCATCTTGGAACGAATGCAAGCATTAACCACTGTAGTGACACTTTAGTGACACTTTGGTCTCAAACTGTTGTGACAGTGATATTAGTCATCAACTGTAGTGGCAAATTTAAAGAAGAGTAGCAAAAGTATCGCTCTCACAATTATGAGAGGACTAAAAGTGGAGATTTTAAAAACAGGTATCAAAAGTCACTGTCACAATAATTAGAGGATTGGAAGTGGAAATTTTCAAATAATGGTTACCAAAAGTGTCATAGCCGCAACCGTCAAGACGATTAAAAGTAGAAAAACTCTTGGCAGTTACAAGTATAAATAAACATTTTAATCAGATGAGTGTAAAGTTTTACCTCCTGTTCTTCAGCTTTCACTCCATCCCTAGAGGCATCAAGCAAGGTCGAAACACCAAAATACAGCTGGAAGTAGACAGACATATCATAAATAGTATATTTCATGTGCCAGTGTTTCCATAGTGCAAGGTTGCATGATGACTTGCTTACCAGAAGGATAACTGCAGCAATATCATCAATAGGCAATTCAGTGCCACCAAGCCTGCATTCATGATGCTTGGTTAGGTTTGAGCCCCAAAAGATACTTGATTTTTTTAGACAACTATACATCACCGACTCACCGTGTCTACAGAAGAGCTACAAGATTTAAAAACTAGTCGGATGATCAATGGTTCCATCCGATGAATATTTGACTTCAGCAGGCTAGATGTGCACGTCAATACTTAATACTACTACTTTTAGACTTTTAGCCAAGTGTACTTCTTTATTTATTTATTTATTTATTTTATTGTTCTTATTTGGTCCCAAGTAGTTATCTGTAGGCAAAGCGTTGGAATAGAGATGTGATACATATCAGTATATCACCATATCTATCAAAGCCTACATTGAGTTAAGGCGCATCCATTTACTATATATATGGTAACTCATATACTGTGAAGTACAAATTAAACAAATATGCGGCTCTGTGTGTTCTTCCTGAACTTTCTCCATCTAAGGTTTATAAATGTCTCAGCAAGACTGGAAGATTCAAAGACAAGAGACTGGTTCTACAAAGAGTGTCTCCGATCATCTATTTATCAGATAGTTGACAGTTGACTCTCACCATATCAAGGTGTGTTTAGGAACTGGAAATAGAGCTCCAGGGGGTAGGGGTTGTGATAAATTTTCATCTAACCAAATTGTGCATTGTTTTACGCCTTTACGGTAAAATAAATGATTCAAACATTGATTCTATACTAATATATCATTTTATATGTTCAATTTTGGAAAACATAAAGTTAAAGTAATATTTTCTTTAAATGATAAAAATAATCACTCCCCTCCAAACTACCTTCCCAAACAATGACTAATTTTTTGCAAATTCATATGGAAATGTATGATTTACCTGAATGGAAGGATACCATCCACATAGTGAAATGTACGCCCAATGACAGCAGAAATGATCGTCATTACCCTGAGATGATATTCTAAATAAATAGTTCAGTACTTTGGTTCGATGCCATCTCAGCTGAAGAAGCAAATTACTTACGCTAGTGCACCAAATGTCCCAAAAAAAGTGACTACAGGAGAGTTCCGAGCAGCCAGAAGAGCCTGCAATTATATTTTGAAAACAGAAATTAGTTTATAACACTGAATATCTGCTAGGATAATAAAACTGACTAATAATTAATAGAAAAGAACCCCATACTGCAATAAAGAAGGTTTTGTCACCGAGCTCTGAGAAGAATATCAACAAGAATGCCTGTAATAAAATAGATAAGGTTTTTAAGATATTTAGAACAGCACAAAAACGCAAGAGCTAAAGAAAAAGACTGATAGGAAAACTGATTTCGTAACAGTGAAACAATCACTATTATTGAACAGAATTGCAGAAAAGAATAAGAAGGTATAGACAGGGCACTTCGAGAGGCCTCAACTCTCCCAGATCCCAATTTCCCAATTCTAAAATCTGCCTCCCTTTATTCTATTCCCAGCTACTATTTATAATACTTTGTTTACGGGCCGGCCCATAACAAAATTAATACCAGGCCTAGACCCCCTTTAACATAATAGAAACTATGTAACATTATTTTATTATTATTATACTAATAGGTTCCTATCAAAGACACATAAAGGGAGCAAAAGAAAAATAGCGATAAGGGTTCCTAGAACTAAAAGTAATGCTATTGATGACTGAATATGCCTCTTGAGTCTTGAGTAGAATTATATGATTCCTCCAAACACTGAACACGCGACTTTTTTCAATTTATTAAGAAGGTGAAGTGTTATAAGGCTCATGTAGGGGTAAAAAGGTAAGAAAAGTGAAGTTCTTATATGAGCAACAAGATTCAAAACAAGAGGTTATCAAGAGGTTTTCCTAACTGAAGCAAAACATGTGCTTATATCTCCAAGATCTCCAAAGAATCCAAAGATGGATGTTACTGGTAATTTCATAGCAATATCAGAAGCAGCAATTGCTTCTTGAGCACCAAGGAGAGTCAGGAGCCCAGACATCGACACAAATCTAAGATAGTTATCAAGTCTGATGTCTAAACCTTCACAAGAGGAATCCGTTTCATTTTCCCTAGGTCTATTGAATAACGCTAATTTCCTTGCAAGATTACTATCTTCTCCATCAAGAGGCAATCTTGCGGTGCAGCAACAATTGCTCTTATTGGTCATACCACCCTGTGCAAAAAAACGATTAAAATATGAGCCTAGAGAGACATCAACTTGCAATTGTAAGAACACCACGTAAAGAGCAAAAACGTCTCTCATTTGTTTGAATTTTATAATCAAAAGTCAGCATAAATAAGGCCTTTTTTTTTTCGAATAAATTTTCCTAGTCTGGTATGTTCGGTTTTAAAGTCTAATATTAAGTGCTGAGGGTCCAGTCTCTTTTGGTCTGATCTAGTCATGGAATAATTTGAAGAGAACAGGTTCTAACTCCCCATAACATGTAATCCTTCAACCAGAAACATAATAGTGTAAAGGGTCAAAGAAATTTGTTTAGTTCCAGAACTTCTTTGTTTCATGTGATATGTAATACTCCGTAGGAAGTAAGAAAACCAAATATGCAGGTTTTTGCAAAACCAGAACAGAATGAAAATGCAGAAAATTGGTAAAGCAATAGAAACAAAACTATAAAAGCCCAAACCAAGAACTTCAATAAATACCATTAGGAAGAAAGTCTCACACCATCCATCATACTTGCTTTCAAAGCGCCGCCATGAATACCTATAATTACACAGACAAAAATATAAGGTATATAATCAGCATTCTTAAGCCTACTCATTTAAATAAAACACTTAAAATCAATTGCGCGATCATGCAAGTCAAAATTTGATTTAAACAGCTTAATAGTTTCTCCCAAATTTGAAAAAAAAAACTTTGCACATATATAAAGTAGTACATTTGAAGAATAAGAATTACCCGGGCATTAGGAGACTGTTGCACGAACGAGAAGAAACATTATTGAAGCGGAAGTCCAAGAAACCAAAATACTTAAAGCACGGATTCTGAATGGGAAAATAGGATGCCATCATTAGACTTTCTGATCTTCTTCTTGGGCTCCTCTGTTTCTGCTCTATGCTTTGAGTTTTTGTTACGAATGGTGGATATGATGGATCGAAGAAGATAAGACTAGGGAGTAGGGAGTCGTAAATCCTAGTTAGTACATATTTGCCCTTCTTAATTATTAATTAAAATTAAGTATAATAATTAAAATATTAATCAAAATTGATTTGCGCACCTCTATACCTCCATGCGCGGCTCCTCCTTATCAATTTTACATAAAAAAAAGGATTACTTGACACATGAAGTACGCGTCCAAAAAATGTTGTCATGCGTCAAGTAATCCTTTTTTTATAAAATGTCATAACTTTTTCATTTTTTCTCCAATTTTTATATAAATTATACCAAATTAAATATCTTTTTATGATCTTTCATATGACATCAATATTATATATGTAATTTTTTTAAAAAAATCTGATCAAGTCTCGTGAACGGACGAAAAATGTATATTTACGACATGATCTTACTATCACGACGCTAGTGTTACATGATGGGATACTCCACTTCTTCATCGAATTAAATAATTTACAGAATGTCGTAATGTTAAAAGAGGCCTCATTACAATTGTATTTGATGATTGATATAAACCTTATATATTACTACGTATAAAGGGAAAATGGAATAAAAAAAGGATGACACCCCATCCCTGAGGGGCCCCCAACCCCAACCGGACGGTACGTGGGAAGGATGTAAATGGAAACTGGAAACTAATAATCCAATCTTTTAGCTGTCTTCTTACAATAGTCTCACCTTATGTGATCATAAGGTGGGAATTATGGTATAATGTTTTATAAAGATAAGAAAATAACTTGGAATAACATGTCATAAATCGATCAGGGACTAGTGAATGAAGATGAGGTGCAAAGGTTGGATTATTCATGAATAATCAAAAGGTGAGACTATTGTAAGAAGACCGCTAAAAGGTTGGATTATTAGTTTCAATTTTTCTTATTATAAAAACATAAAATGTTTTGTTTTGTTTTTAACTGTGCGCAATTCTATACTTCGTATTGGATTTTTTTTGGAAATTCTAGATTAGATTATATATTTGAATAAGTAATATTTTTAATTCTAGTAAACTAATTATCTTCATTTTTTATTTGTTGGACTAATTTCAAGCATGGAGGGCCCCACCATTTAAAACTCCATCACCACCATGTTGATTCCACATTATGGTCATATATGTGTCATGACTAGATTTATGATGTGAACGGTATTTAGTTAGTTTTTAATTGAACTGATTTCGAATCAGATAAATTCAAACAAATAGAATCAGATCTGACCCTAACTAGACTAGATTTAAATAATACTTCTTAGTAAATATATATTTTTCGACCGTTCACGAGACTTGATCAGATTTTTTTTAAAAAATTACATATATAATATTGGTGTCATATGAAAGATCATAAAAAGATATTTAATTTGGTATGATTTTTATAAAAATTGGAGCAAAAATGAAAAAAATTATGATATTTTATAAAAAAAAGGATTACTTGCCACATGGCTGCATTTTATTGGTTGCATACTTAATGTAAAATTGATATGGAGGATCCGGGCATTGAGCTATGGAGGTGCGCCCAGCAGGGAACATAATTGAGAAGCTCCAATTTAATTGACTAGAGATACATTTGTCCACTCCTGTTAAAAGATCAGTGGGCAGGGCCTTATTAGAGGCGCGGGGAGCACGAGCGATCCTTTATGTATCCACCCTTATACCCGTACTCATCATGTTTGTGAAGTTTTTTTGTCTGTAAAACCGGTTCACAGACAATATTTTTGTTTATGCAAAATATTGTCGGTAAATCGATGTTCACAAACAAAAAAAGCTTTCACTACCATGGATGGGTACAAAAGTAAGTATAAGAGTGAGTCCAAACATCATTTTGTCTCTTATACTAGATTTTCAATAAGTAATGAATAATTTAAAATAAAAATATATAGTACAAATAAAATAACACAATTATTTGTTTTATTAGAAAACTAAATGAATATTAAGAGTACAAATTATCATACACCTCCTTGTAAACAACATTTAAAGCCCTTTTCGATGGTTGTCCATCATCATCACATGATAAACATCAATCGAGAATGATGCATTAATCTTGAGATTGCGACGTAAAACTACCAATGGGTGAAGAGTGAACGACATAAAAAAGCATCAACCTCTCTCAATGGGTGAAGAGTGAACGACATAAAAAAGCATCAACCTCTCTGTCACTTGAAGTTTTAACTTTTTTTGTAATATGGACCCTAAAATTGTGACAACCCGGACTCCATCATCATCACTTAAATTTGTCCATCTTCAATTTCAGCTTTTCAAATATAGTGGCATGCTACTCTTCAATGGCTGCCTGAATCCTAGAAACCTATTTAACAGAAATTGAATATAACAAAATATAAGGATTCTAGGAACTCATCAGATTTGACAAAGTCCACATTTTCTTATATAATGAAGTACCAAGAAACTAAATTAAGTTTCCATTAACATTACACAAAAACACATAACTCAAACATTTATCACACTTGTACTAACATTAAAGTCGTCAACTTCTTTTTAGAACCCGGTAGACCAACCACCAAAATGTAGGGTAAGAGTTGGAAAGTACCTTTGACATATCATTGAATACCAAAAGAGATTACAAAAGGGGGGAGGGGGCATAAACCAAAACCTCTCTAATGGAAGCTTATATACTTCCACCATTACATGAAGTTGCATATATATGGTTGCAGCTATAATTCAAAATTTTACATAATAAATATTACCCCCCCCCCCCCCCTCCTATAAGTGTCCCATTTTTCAATTTTTTGGATGCCCCCTATTATTGTCCCAAACAATATTTTGTAATATTTGTGTGACTCTAATTTATTCCTACTTTAGTCCCATTTTATCAACTCATTATCAATCAAATAATTCTATTTTTTAAAAAAATCACATCACTCCCTTCTATCCCAATATTAGGAGGATGAAGGTTGATGTGAGTTTTCTCGCACTTAAATTAATTTTAGAATAGTGGTAAAAGTACGACTATCGTCTCCACATGGACGGACAAAAGGGAATCAAGAATTAATTAAATTCAGCGATTAAAAATAAATGTGTCGTGCGATATTGGTTGGTTGAATTGAAATTAAAATAATGTGAATGAACGATTAAAATAAAAGATTGGTTTCTCTCTGATTAACGATGAAGGGAGCAGAGATTGATTCTGGGGTAATCAGATTTCTGGCTGATCAGGCTTAATCACATGAAATTAATTTAATTGAGCCTAGCTAATCATTACTAAGTTCTTACCGCTCTCGTGGCGTAGAGTACAATAATTTAGGATCTCTCATTCGACAGGATCCTAAATTATTGTCAAGACGAACGAGCTTACAGCCCCTTAATCGCTACTAATCTCTTAGCGAGCGAATAAGTGTGTGTGAATGTGTCCTAGAATAAACTAGATCTCTCTTAATTTATTCTACACGCAATTGTAATTCTAGTCGTGGTTCCAGGTTACAAAAGATCAATTAAAATATTCAAACACAAATTAAACGACATTCATGCAATTAATACATCAAGAAACTAGCCATACATCATGATTAACCCCTTCATCAATCCCAAATCCCTAATTAAAACTACTCCCGTCTCATAATTGAAGAATCAATAGAATCAGGAAAAATGGAAATAATTGTCATCTACGTCATATTTATATACTATCGTATAAGAAAAGAAATAGCTCATAAAAATATATTTTTGCCCCTTTAAAATCATACGTGTTCTTCTATGCGTATTTCACTCATTTGCTATCTAATTGCCACATGGCACATTATATTCAATGGATACGTACTTGAACTAATAAACATCAAAAATGAAACCTACCGGTGGGCGTAGCTCAACTGGTAGGGAGGGAGTGCCACAAGGGTTAGGTCCCGGGTTCGAATCCCGGCAACTGCGATGAGGGGTTACTATGCTAAAAAATGCATAGGACCTCTGCAAGTATCGGGGAAAGAGCCTCACTCTCTATCTGTCAGATTGGAATTATAGTCCAACTTACATCCTCTCAACGTACTGATCAGGGTTGGGGGTCCTCAGGGATGAGGTGTCATCCTCTTTTTTTTTTCAAAAATGAAACCTAGCGGGTTGGGAGGAGCTTTTGGTGGGGCACAAGTATAAAAACCCCATTTTTCTTCAAACAACTATAACTTTTTCATTTTTACTTCAATTTTTATAGAAAATATATCAAAATTCATTATTTTTTATTACCTTTCAAATGACATCAATATTGATTATATAAATTTTAAAACAAAATTATAAAACAAGTTGCAATTTTCCAAACTCAAAATTATTACATCGGCAAATAATTTCTAATATGTGACAAAAGTAACTAAGTAAGTATAGTACATAAAAATATTACTCCGTAGTTGATAACTTTTAGTGGCAGAGTGGGAGGGTTATTTTCTTTCTTAGCAACAAAAAAGAAAATAAAAGATAACTAGAAACAAAGCTCCCTAGGCGTCTGGGGTTTTGACTACGACGTGCATCGTCGGCTTTGGCTTTACTGATACGATCGTACGCTTTTGAATTGAAGGATCCCGCTTCGGCTTTCAGCATGGAAAACGAAGTGAACGAGCTCTATGCTCGCCTCTCTCTGGAAGATGATGACACGGAGGGCGTCGATATAGATGAAGTTTTGACGGAGGATGTTCCAGCGGCGACACCGTTGTGTTTGGTGGGATGGCTTTTAACGGACAGAACCATAAAATTGTTGGGATTAATTAATTAATCTTAATTAGTTTACTTCTTAGGGAACATAAATTATCTTTCCCTACTTTTATTGGAAAGATGAAAGGTCTTCTTGGAAAGGTAAATTGTATTTCCTAGGGATTATTTTACTCCTCTTGTAATGCCTATATAAGGCCACCAATTGTAATGTTTTATCAAGTGGAATATAATACATTCTCCTCCATTCCTTTGAGTTGTAAGTTAGCCAAACACTTAGAATATTTTCGGATATTTGGGGCTTTCAAATTGGTATCAGAGCCACTGTTGAAGAAGAAGATGGC